ACTGATACGATTGTATTGAATGAAATCCTGTTCAATAAATGACTGATAAATAGTGTATATAATGATAGAAAACGATGAGATTGTGTGTGATTTGTATGTTTGATACGTTGGGCACAAGTTGTTCCCCAATTCAACTGTTTTCAACACAACTTCCTATACACTGAACATACAGTCACCACTCGTTATAGCGAACACGCGATCAATAGTACAATAAGATTACATAATTAAATGTGATTTGAATTGTCCTTCAAATGAATGACGGGATTAAAGGTTTAGAGAAACACTTGAGAGTAAACATTGAAAATGTGAGTGTATTTCTCAATGGTATTGATTAGACAATTGATTGTACAGTAGGTATGGGTTGTGTTGTATGTATTGAATGGTTAGACTGTGTATTGCTTTGAATGGCTTATAAATTGTAGTTATAATTGAATAGCGATTTAGTATTGCTTTCGATGTCCTAATGACCCAATTATTCAATCATTTCATTACTTATTGTTATTATTAATACATATTATTATAATCATTGATTCAATTCATCAAAACCTTTAATTGATTCACAAATTCATATCAATTAATATATCGTTTGATAAATAATTAGTGTTTTGTGTTTACATTTGCAAACATTGGCAACGGTTTTGTTGTTGTGTTTTGTATACAATATATTGCTATTAATTATTGTAGTATTTGTTGTCATTTTGTTTGTGACAATCGGTTTGTGTGAACGCATTGTTTCTGTCCATTGGATGTGTTGTTTGGCTCCCAATTGGAGTCAATTGATTGGTCTAACAGTCGGCGAGACGTCCGAGAAGTGATGACTTCGTCGCTCAATCACTTGAAGTTCTGGAACAAGAAGTCGCTGACAATCACCGAATCTGATCCCACGTATAAAGTGGTGTATTTGGGGAATGTGTTGACCCCGTGGGCGAAGGGATACCAATCGGTGGACANAGGAGAGCGAAAGGAGTGAAAGCTTTGGCGATGAGGAGAGTCTCCGCTCGGATGAAGTGAATTACTCGACCACTGGTTCCGTATGAATGCATTCATTGTTTTCGTTATCTCTGTATATAATTATAGTTTTCTAATGAATACATGAAAAGCAATACTAAAAAACCAATTAATTTTTCAATACATAACAAAACTAATACTCGATTTAATTTTCTTAAGAGCCTATAATTGACACAAATATTAATGTAATTATTGCACAGATTTTGATATATTTTACTGAGAAATAATAATTATGATATTTAATTTAAAAATGCTTAAAACACTTATCGATTACGTAACGCATGTTTAAAGAGCAATAATCTTAAGGACCAATTGAGTTGACAAAACAGTATTTGACATTTTGTTCACAATATATACAAACATTATGCCATTATTTTCATCATTTATTTCCTCATTAAACACACAAATTGTTATAATATTTGTTTTGTATAATAAACTGATTAATGCATGAATTGATATGTTTTGCGAGTTTATGGCACAAAAATACACTACTTTTTTGGGAACAATTTATGTGTTTTATATGTTTTGATTAAATTTATATTTTTATTAATTATATAAATGATTAAAAGTCATACACCTTTTGATTGAATAACAAATGCAATCAATCGATACACTGATTGTGTTGCGCTATAATTGGGAGCAAATGTCAGATCAATTAACAATAATTCCTGTTATTTATGAAAATAATTAAAACTTTTTGCTCAAAATGTAGATTTAGTATAGATTTTGAGTGACGATTATAATTACGGTTTAATGTATTTTTAATTATTTGTAACGAAATGCAACTTTCTATTGATATATTTGTTATTAGAGTTATATATGCCTTAAACTGACTCTTATCTGAATTGATATAATTTTGTCGTTTAATGTCAACGAAGGGAACAATTGATAAAATCGATGATTAGTTGACCGCAAGTTTTATAACTTTACAAATGAAACAAATGTTTAGAACTTATTATTTAAATTCATAAAAAGTTATTATTTTGTTATTAATTTTTCTATTTGTAATAGTATTTTTGAAATAATATTTACAACAAAATATTTAATTAAATTTATTTAAAATATAAATAATAATGTTCAAAAAATGCCAAGAGTGCAATCGGGAATTATTATTATAAATCGAAAGTACACTCCGTAGGAAGTATTGTGGTATATTTTATTTGGCCAGACGACCTCGGGTTTGGCCGCAGTGACCACTTTTATTGGGGAAAATTTTAATATCAAATCTTGTATTTTATAAATAAATATATCATATTATATATCAATGGAAAGGTATGGATGAGTAGAATTGATATCTGAAGGAATTTCCCAAATCTGACATAATGGATAAAAGTTATATCAAAATTAAGAAATTTAGTAAAAGTTATGTGCGTTCTTTATAATGATTAACGTAATTACTGTACATCATTTATATTAATTTAAATTATGCTCATAATGATAATTAATTTTGCAAATTAAAAACAAATAAAAAATTTTAATATAAAATTTTTGGCATTTTACCCATTTGCATTGAACTTTGTCCTTTTTATAATAAAATTGTTTAACAACTATTTTTATATACTTTTAGTATTATATACAGTATTGTATTAATTATATAATGAACTATAGATAGAGATCTCAATTAAAATCAATTATATAATATAAAAATATTTGAGACAAATGTAAAACAAATGCATTAAATCTATAAATAAATTATTATTATTTGTTGAATAAATCACAACTTGGATGGAAATTCTGTATCAAATCAGTGGAAAATTTGCTTAAAACAACGTTTGAATAATTCATAACAATTACAGCGTAAACAACGACTAGTCGTACAGTTATAAACACTTAATATGAATCGAGAGCTGAATTGATTGAATATCTCAGTGCCTCAAAGCCTTCTCCGCAAACAATTAATTGCCACTCGTTTTTGTCACTAAAATAATTAAAATTTTCCATTAAAATTACTGACAATTTCTAGGATTTCTATTCAAACTCACGGCACAAATGTAGTCAAAAGGGATGAAATATCGGCAATACTTGAAACATAGGAAGTGATCGGTTCTAAACTGATGAGCAATTCTTGGAAATCCAATTCATATTTCCAAACAATAATTCTCTGATCGATAGAAGCACTCAATAACAGAGAATTTGATAATATTTTGATTCCTATAAATAGTGTAATCATTTAGTATTCGTTTAGCAATTATTAGTAAATCAGACAAATAGTTGACAAATACCTGTGATTTGAGAGGAATGGATGTGTTTTTCTTCCACAAAAGAAATTCTTGTCAAACCATTAATTGAATGTTTAAATAGTGATAATATAAGTGTATTGTCATCGCCTCCACTCCCTATTAGCCATAGATTCTCTGCAGTAAACAAACTAAATGTTTATCAAAAAATGAATAAATATTGATTTATATACCATTTAACCGAAAGATATCCAACGCATTGATTCCCGCGGAATGACAACGCGTTTCAAAAACTGAATTCAATTCAATTTGTTTGTCTTCCGAGTCATCCAAAAGTAATTGATCTAAAAATCCTTCGATAAGAGACCAGATTTTAAGTGTGCCGTCGTTTGAAGCGGTAATTATATGCGATTCAAAAGCATTATATACTCTTAAAACACAACTCGTGTTAAATGAGGTCTTATTTAACAATTGAAAATCTAATGAATTTGAATCAAAAACATATAAACGAAACGCTGAATCAGAACAGGCAGTAGATATCAGATATCGGTTTTCAGATATTTGGCACATATTTGCGTCCAAATACCGTATTTGCGGATCCAATGGCGACACAGTCTTCATATGTTTAGTCCGATTGCTTATACAATCAGAACTCCATAAAAATTTATTAAATAATTGTTTGCAAAACAATTGATTATCTCTCATATCTATTGACCAGAGCATGAGTTGAGTCCTTCCGCCCACAGACACCATATAACAAGAATCGGAATTATTTTGGCAACAAGTGATGGCAGAGATGTTAGATATGTGTCCGAAGAGATACAATTCAATAGTCACTGAATTTGTCTCCAAATTTAAACTATTTATATGAATGACATTCTCTTCACCGGCGGTCACGAAGTACAGCAAAGATCTGGTGAACAAAAGTGAACAGCAATTGATTTTCTTGCAGTGAGACGTTTTGGTAATCATTAAATCATAATTAGTACTCATTTTAGGCATCGGTTTATCAAAACAAATCATCTTTTCTTGTTTTGTATAACAAAACCAGAACTGATTTCTATGGACGACAAAATCCCACGACCGGTGACCCCCACCGCAGTCTATGCTCTCTATAAACCTCTGTTCCCTTTCATCCCAAACCACAAAATTTCTTGAATCAAAGCCATAAATATAAGATATTTGGCCACTGTTTGGATCGAAACAGAAATTGCCGATCCATTCCATGTCCGCAAATATCCGATAAATCCTCAAAAGAGTGCAATTCTTGTCCTCCAAAACAAATTCAAACATTTTGCCATTTCTTCCGCACGAATACATATAATTAGTTTTCGGTCTCATCTTTAAAGCTGTCACTCCATTAGATCCGTGCAAATGACGGAAGTCTTTAATCGGTTCTTCGGTGTCAGTTAAATATACAAAAACACTACCGCATCGGTCGCCCACTACTAGCAGATCATAGTATAAAAGCCCAGCCACTGGCCAACGATGCCTACTATTTGGCAAAATATGTTCACTAATCGTAGTGAATGTCTTCAGAGACCAAACTTTAATCTCTCCGTCAAAACCACAACTCATAAAATGAAACGAATCGACAAAACATACGCTAAAAACTTTTGAATTGTGGACTTTTTTCATTTGTATGTCATTGGGTTTATAATTGCAATCCATTTTAATGACGGCTATATTTCCACACTTTGATCCCAACACTACATGATTTCGATCTTCGTTGACATCACTTGCCGAATACGTCTGAAAGACTTTATTATAATCAGTGATTTTTAGATCACTTAATGAACACATATTTGAATCCATAATCAGGAAATCGCCGCCAATTGTGGCGCAAAATATTGCGAGACTTTCGGTGCCAATGAATTTGAGTTGTTTTGGTTGCAAATCATGTCTAATCTGTTTATTGAATGGCGTTATTATATTCTTCACATCACAGCGAGTGATAGACGAATCACTTCCGCCGCTAAAACTAATCATCGATTGCGAATCAAAAGCCAAACTCCAAACGCTTGCATTCCTGTGTCCGTCCACTCTTTGGATCAGTTTCTTGTCGTCAATACTCCAAAAGTAAACACAAGAGTCTTCGCCGACACTAATCACTAGAGGAAAGGGATCACAAACGGACACAACTCTCCAAATTCGTGATAAATGTCCGTAAAATACATGATTTATAGAAAATTTATTTTTCTCCCAGAAATCAATTGGATTTGTGTTATCGTTAGACGACAACAATGAAGACCAGATGCGGACACTTCTGTCATCAGAAGCCGATACAAATAGATTGAGTGTTGGGTTATAGTTGAGGGCAAAGATCACGCCGTCGTGTCCTTCGAGTCTTTGATGTAATTTGGTTTCAAATGGATCTTCAATTTTGGTCTGAAATGAACTCCAAATAACAATTTGTTTGAAAACAGTTCCAGAGGTGACGACAAAGCCTTTCGGCGATTCCGATACACAAAGAAGTTCTGCTGAATAGAGAATACATTTATCACTTCCAGAGATGGTGTCTGTTATTTGATTTGTGCGGTAATCAAAGATAACCACCTGATTGTGCGCTTTCACCACAAATACCAAACTTCGGGTCATTTGAACCAAAAGAATCCAATCGTAAAAGTTATGGCAATCGAGTAAACAATTCAATACAAACTTTTCATTTCCATAATTGTATGAAAACTTATAAATACTGAGAAACCGATTGCCATAAATCGAGACAATTATCTCGATAT